CCCTAAACCCCCTCAACCCCTCAACCCCTCAACGCTCAACCCTCCAAAAAGGCCTCGACCAAGTCGATCGGCTTCTGGAGGAAAGACCATCGCCCCTCTGTCGGAATCCTCTCCAGGAGCTTGTTGGCCTGGCGACGAAGAATCGGGGGGGCTTAGACGAGGCTTCCTGTTTTTAAGGTGTGTATTTAACAGAGACTGTAGAGTTTACCCATGAGCCCCATAGTAGTTCCTGTTTGGGATTACCTTATAGGATTCTAAATATGAACCCCCAAAAGGAACTACTATGGGGCCTATGGGTAGAGTTTAGGGTCTAGGGTGTGGGGTTTATGGTTTAATAATAAGGGTTAGGCTTGATGTAGGTCCTTTCGAGTTAGACTAGGGTCTTGGGATACACTGTAGTTCTGGCATAGCGCTTTTTGCGTTTGATTCTTTGCGGGCAATTTGCTGTTGTAGGGCACTACATTCGCTCTAAAATTTGGGGCTTCGATTTGTTGTCTGTAACCCAAAGCGTCCTAGGTACCGAGATAGTGGAGTGCAGGGTTTCGATATTAGGGGGCCCTAAACCCTAAACTCTAAACCCTAATCTGCGAAATCTTCGTTGGGTTTGGGGTTTCGGATTTTCTGGGGCTACTGGGCTGAAGGGTTCACGATACACAGCAGCAGTGGTCACGACTAAGAATTAAAAAAATGAAATAAGAACACAAAAATGACACGAGTTTTGTGAGAAAGGTTCATCATCATCATCATCATCATCATCACCATCATCGAAAAGCCTAAGAACATAATCCCGGAGCCGTTAATAACACACGGCAATAGAAAGTAGGTGGCAAGGATTAGAGCCTAAAGAAGCGCTCGGCCGTTAGAGTCCACTGTTGCCTCGAGTTCTTCTGGCACCGGCATTTCGGGTTTGGGCTTTAGGGCTTTAGGGGTATGGGTGTATTTAGGGTTTAGGATTTAGGGGTTAGCGTTCAGGGGTTAAGGTTTTGGGGTTTTCGAGCGATTGCTTCTGCTCACAAAACTCCCGAAAGAAACCCTG